GGAAGCCTGCTTCTCCCTCTCCCGCTCCCCCTGCTTGTGTTCCCTCTCTCGCTGTGTCTCTCTCTGTCAAATAAATGAAGAAATCTTTAAAACAAAAACAAAAAAACCTCATTACATTCAAGAGTTTCTGATATGCCTGTGCTTTTGTGCTCAAGTTTTGATTCACATTTTCTCTAGTTGTAGAGAGTAAGAGCCACAGTCTGGGAGGTGACCCCATAAAGCAAGAAGAATCCCACAAAAGTCCTATTGACAGCTGGATGCAGAGATCAAACACTCAAGGTACCAGCACACCTGCCCCTCGTGTAGGAGGCCTGCACAGCTCCGTTTGCCTCTGCAGTGCTCCATTAGAATTGTCTCTGAGAACCAGCACCCCAGGCAGTCCTTCAGAGGGTCCGGGGGAGTGGTAGTCTGTGACTTAAGCAAAAGACTATAAAATAGAAGGGGCCAAAGCAGGTATGTCCCAGAACCCTCAGCACCCACAGGGACCTCAGTGGGTCGTAAGGGCAGCTTAGAGGACAGTTAGCATCCAAGGAACCCTCACTTTTCCTGCGGAAGCCTTAGAAAAGGCCTCCCTTGTCAGAACCTTCTAGAATCACGTTGTCTTCTGCAGGTTCCATTTTGATAAACCTTCTCCTGAAGCAGCCTTTGATCCCAGGGTCATCCCTCGGTCTGTGCCACCTCCTGAGCAGTTGTTCGGAGGCTCCTACCAGCACCCTGCTGCAGCCACCGGGGTTTGGCAGGTAAGCCTCAGACTCCTAAAAAGCTCATTTAGGAAGGAGTTCCCAGGAAGCAAGTCCCTTTCTGGTCCTGACCAGCCTGGGAGGTCTATGTGCCGGGGTTGGGGGTGGGGTGCGGTTTGGGAAACTAGAGAATTTGGCCAGCAGGTTGACTGGGGCCCTTGACATTGTCTCCATCTCACACTTGTGTGTTTTCTTTTGTATTTGCTGCTAGTACCTTGGCTGGGATTTCAAGCCTGAGGACCACAGGTTCTCATGATGGGTCATTTCCCCTCTTGGCCCTGAGAGAAGCACAGAACCTGGCACTCACTGGATTGAATCTGGTTGCCAGGGATGAAGGCTCGTGTGATGGAGACCCAGCAGAGGGAGGCAGAAAGGCCTTCCCACTCTGCCAGCTTCCTGGAGCTGTGCATCTCCTCCCCCTGGTACAGTTCTTTGTCGGCTTACACTGCCAGGCTCTGCAAGATTTGGCAGCAGCCAAGAGAAGTGGAGCACCTGGGGACTCACCAACACGTTCCTCCTGTGTGAGCTCTGCGGGAGAGGCCAGCCTCGAGGACTCACTTTGCAGCCTGGAAAGCTTCTCTGTAGCGTCCCTTAGTGTTCTTCAGCACCTGGTGTGCCACAGCGGAGCGGTCGTCCACCTGTTACTGTCAGATGCAGGGGCAGATTCTGCTGCTAGGGCAGGAAACCAGAGCCTGGTTCACAGACAAGATCATGGGGATGTGTCCTCAGCCCCAAGGGGGCTTGCCAGTGACCAAGGCCAGCATCCACTACTGAAGATGCTTCTTCACCTGTTGACTTTTTCTTCAACAGGTCACCTTCAAGCCAGTGTCCTGAGCCAGTGTCTTAAGATTTTGGTGAAATTAGCTGAAAATGCTTCCTTTGATTTCCTGCCCAGGTATAATAACACAGCATGGAAGTCATGATTCTTTGTGGGTCTTACCTGACCTCTTGAGGTCTATCCCGTGGCCCTTATACTTTGTCCACTTCTTGACTTATCTGTGCTTCTCAGTGCTAAGCCTTGGTTTTATGTTCTGAGGCTTCGTTCAGGGAGTTCTGAAGTGATGGAAAGTGGGGCCAGGTGTTAGGAGAACCAAGAAAGTGATTTAGGAGAACCAAGGAAGTGATTTATTTGGTTTAATTCTGCCTCTGTACAGCAGGTAAGCAAGAGACACATGTGTTGAAAGAAGGCTTGTAGCCGCTATGGAAAAGCATCCTTGTCCCCAGGACAGACAAAGGCTGAACCAAGAGCCTTGAACCTGGGCCGTGGATCAGGTGAAGACCACGAATCACACCACATTTAAGTTCGGTGGGGTTCCCTAAGGAAGCAGAGGGTGTAGGGTAGGTCTGCAGCCCATAAGCTGACCTTGCTGGGAATCTGCCCATCATCATCGTGCCCTCTGGCATGAGTCATAGGTTACCTGCTCCTCTTAATGTTTGTGGGAAGTGGTTGTATAGTGAACCTAGCTTGTGAACACTGTAGTCATAAATTCCTAACTTGGGATTCCAGAGCCTCAAGACTGGGAGGAACTGTAAACACCATCCAGCCCATCCCCTCATCCAATAATCCTGTCTCCCCCTCAGCATGCCACCAAGAAGCCAGTTCCTATTTGGAGTAACTCCACTGGCTGCACTTACCTTAAGCTTTTAGCCTCTGAGCTTAGCATACTTGTTTCTGAAAAACACTGCTGGATCCTGGTTTCCATTTGAGGATATTCTAGCTGGTCTGGTCCATCCTAACAGTAGTCCTCAGAGCTGGACACAGTACTCACAGTACTGTGGTGTAGTGTGGGCAGCATGATAGGTTCAGAACCATCACCCATGTGTCTGGCACAGACCTAGCTCATAGTGGCTGGTTGCTTTTTTCATAGGTGTTGAATGAATTCCAGGAGCCACTTTTTACCAGTCCTCTTGGTAGATACACCATCATTCCATTCCTGTTGAGCTTGTCTGCAAGGACATGATAAAACAGCAATTTAGGGGATGCTTACTATAGGCCAGACAGATGCCTTCTGTTCACTAGCTCATGTGACACCCTCAGAGCCCTGCATCCTTACACCTAGAGGGAGCCTGGCTCACTGGAAGCACTCAGTATTTGCTGTATGAATACGAATGGAGAGAGCATGCTGGGCCAGTTTCAGGCCAGTCTCCTTGACTTGCCCTTAATCACGGTCCGACACCACCTCCCACTTGGTGCTTCTCTTCAGAATTCCTACCTCCTTGCAGGCTGAACCCCACTACCACACAGCTTCCTGTTCACCTTGGAGTGAAAGCGAAGGACACGTGCCACCAAGGCCCTGACCGTGTGCAGTGCAACACAAGGAGCCATGCAGACAGCGGTCTCATAAGGGGCACCTTTGCCCACCTAGGCCTGAGGGCAAGTCATCCCCACGGACTATAGCCATAGGTCATTCCTGGTTACTGGGCCATTCCCGGTACTGAGATGGCAGCGACTTTTGAGCAAAGAGGTCTCATCCCCTGCTTCAAACAGAACAGCAGGACTATTCTCTCTTGTATGTTTGGGGCTCTGAAAAAATTTTTTAAAAGAAGGCTGATGTTACCCAAAAGTAATGTGGAAACCACTGTGTCATATATATAGATTTTTCTTGCAGATAGTTTCAGGGACTTTACACGAACACTAGAGACCACTTCTAACCTAATGATGAACTTGAGTAACAACCAGGTTAAATCCCAGTTTCCCATAAAGTTCTACCCTCCCTGGCAACTGAAAACATGCCGCTTATCCACTGTACAGGATCTGCTCTAAAATGATTTCACCCCAAACAGTGAGAACTTGCTTCCTAATGGCATACTGAGGAATATTCTTAACCCTCGATGGTGTGTGCTGAGACGCTGCAGATGCATGAAGGGGGACACGTAAAAGTACCCCTCTCCCTACCCACAAGGTTGTGTGGGTTGAGCGAATGGCAGTTGTCTTGGGACTTAGTTCTTTAGTTCCCTGTGCCTGTGAGACCTGGGGGAGAGTGTGCCCAGAGCCCCTCACCCGTGCACGCTCCAAGGGGGCACCTGCTCCTATCTGGTGTTTTCAGAAATGGTCTGCTCAGCAAGTGGTGTAAAACCCAACCCTAGCCAAGTCTGCATTTGCCACTTTGGAGCCTGGCCAGTCCTTGGGTAGTGGGCTCATAACATTCTCACACCCAAGTTAAGATCTGCCTCCCTATTTGGGAGCAGTGTGGAAGCCAGGCACCCCAGGTCCAGGGAGGCAGCCCCCATTTACAGGTGGCGCTGTGTCTGGTAAGGGCCTGTCCTCTCTAAGCCACAGCAACATCGCGGTGGAGGCTTGTACCTACTCGTTCACAGGAAGCAGATGTCCTAGCAAGCAGGTAGTGGTCGGCCAGCATTTAAACCCAGGTCTGAACCACAGCTCCTCCTCGTACCGCCTGCTCAAAACGGCCTTTTCCCTCCGGGGAAAAGCGAGGGTGAGTTGGATTGGGTTACCAGCGTCCCATCTCTCTGGGCCCCTATACTGTAGGTTCCAGTGTGTGTTCCGGGTGCTGCCACAGTGCCTGAGCCCCGAGAGCCCCCTGCCCAGCGTCCTGCTGACTGTTGAGCTCCTCTCCCTCCTGGCGGACCACGAGAAACTGGTGCCTCAGCTCTGCTCCCGCTCAGGTAAAGCCCGGCAGGGAGTGGGTGGCTGGGCTGCCGCTGCAGGCTGGAAGCAAGGGCGGTGGCAGGGACAGGTCAGAGGCCTCCTGAGGGCTTCTGCAGCTTGTGCCCGGAGCTCTGGGTAAGAAGGGGAACCCTGAGTGAGAGGTGGGGTGTCCTTTTCAGAAGGCTGTCTCCTCCTGCTGCTGTACACGTACATCACATCAAGGCCTGACAAAGTGGCCTCGGACACACAGTGGCTTCAGCTAGAACAAGAGGTAAAAACTCCAGAGGCCCTGCTGTGAACTGCTCACCACCCCACCCCACCCACCTCAGGGCCACTGTTCCTCCCCCTGGGGAGAACGGAGCTTTCATTCACTTTGGTAACAAGAGTTTACCCAGCTGCTAACAAGGGGAACTCAGTCCGGGGGCTCCACACTACACAGAAGCAATACAGCTGGGCCCCAGGGTGTCCTGGGACTTGGCAGAGTGGCCTGATAACTGGTCCCACCCTGGCTTTGGGGCCTGGAGGCAGGTGGGTCGCTGATGAGACACGGGGGTTGGCCCTGAGCCTAGCCTGGGAAGGCCCCAAGACCATTTCTTGGACCCCGTTGTATAGATAGGCAGTTGCTAAGGCAACCGGAGCACTGGTAGAAGCCTTAGCAAGCCCTCACTGTGACCAGGGTCTCACTCTGCCATAGACGGACCAGTCTGTTCTTGTTCTAGGCCGTGTGGCTCCTGGCTAAGCTGGGTGTGCAGAGCCCCTGCTCCCCGGTCACGGGCTCTCACTGCCAGTGCAACGTGGAGGTGAGCGCATGGGGGCCAAGGTGACCCTCTGCAGGGACCCCCCCCCGCTCCATGCCCCGCAGCCCCGACCCCTCCTCACCTGTGGTGGCCGGGCAGGGTGCCGTCCAGCGGAGCAGGCCGGGGGGTGCAGGAGCCCTGGGACCCAGCCTCAGTGTCGGCCCTCCCGCAGGGGGTCAGGGCGCTCACGGCGATGCTGCACAGACAGTGGCTGACGGTGCGGAGGGCCGGGGGGCCCCCAAAGACGGAGTGGCAGAAGCGGACGATGCGCTGTCTGCGGGACACAGTGCTGCTGCTGCATGGCCTGTCCCAGAAGGACAAGCTCTTCACTGTGCACTGCGTGGAGGTCCTGCATCAGTATGACCAGGTGATGCCAGGGGTCAGCATGCTGATTCGAGGGCTTCCGGACGTGGCCGACTGTGAAGGTGAGCCTGCAGGAGGACTCCTCCCTGTCCAACCCACACGCGGGGCTTCCCTGAAGTTCACGGACAGGTCACAGTTCCTGGCCTTAAGTCAGCAGTCTTCCCTCCACGCAGCCTTTGCCTTACTGCTCTGGCTCTTCTCTGAGCATAACAGGCTGCCTTTTGCTTGTATCTGTTGAGTCGGCCTGGCAGAGCCACGGTTGTTCCAGAAACATCCCTGTCTGAATTGCCTTTGTGTCACTTTGCTTGCAGTAGCTGAGGGAGCAAGGCCTGGGCGTGGAAGGGACTGGTTAGTTCCTATGGGCGTGGGGGAGGAGCGGTGGGCCTTCCCTCCACCCCTGTGCCCAGCACCTGCAGGCCTTCACCGTAGAACCCTCTTCTCTTCGCTCAGAGGCAGCCCTGGATGACCTCTGTGCCGCTGAAACCGATGTGGATGACCCTGAGATGGACTGCAGCTGACACCTGGGAGCATCGAGCCACACGGTGGCACCAGAACCACTACCTTCCCCACCAACTGATTAAAAGCAGCAAAGGGCTGTTTGAGAACATGCCAGCCTTGTGGTGTTTCCTGAGTCTGATCTGTGTCGGGCTGAGTGGGGGGGACGGAGCAGGAGCCAGACCCTCGGAAGCCTGGGAGCCTTCCCGTCCCTGGCTGGAGTTGAGACCCTGTCCCCACGGTAACGAATCAGCCCTGAGGAAGGAGCCCGGCCCTGCCCTGCCCAGCCTGTGGAATTGCCCTGAGTCATCGCTTTGGGCTGAGGCCATGGGAAGAAACCACTGTGTGGCAAAGCAGGAGGCAGGCGGCAGCCGGGGCCTACAGCAGGGAGCCCTGAGAAAGTAGGGCCAAGGAGAGGGTGCACGGTGGCCGCTGGCCACAGCCGGGCTTCCTGGCAGGCTGGAGTCCTGCTGCTGGCCTTCCCCGAAGGGCTGGGCACCACGGCCCTTGTCCTGCCGGCTGCCTCTCACAGTGTGAGCGCTCTGATGCGCTGTGCCAGCCAGCAGGCCCACGGCTGTAGGTCGGAGGCCTCTGGGGAGTCACGAGGGGGCAGTGCTGGGGAGGGACAGACCTGGCCCGCTGATGAGCAGGGCGGGCCTCCCTCAGGACAGCCCACAGGCAGGCTCACACTCAGTTTCACTTCCCGCCCCTGCTGCCGGCAGCAAGAACCAGCCAGACTGCACCCTGAATCATTGCTGCTGCCTGCTACCCGGTAAGTGAGGGCTCCCACGGGCATGGGGCAGGGTGGGAAGGCCTCACTGCCCCCCCCCAGGCCCAGGCTAGGTGGGCGCTAGGGGAGGAGCCAAGGTTTCCCCCAAAACAGACAGTTGAGGGTGCTTCCCCCTAAGGAAGTCATGACACCCTCTCTGGCTTCCTGCCCTGGAATCGGGTCCTGGAGCTCACTGACAGTGCCGGCCTCAGCTCTTCCCACTGGGGCACTCATACACCCACTCCCCACCCCTGCTCCTCCCCAGGCTCGGCAGGTACCCAGCATGGGCTCGCAGGCCCCAGCCCCGGGGCCCGTGCAGACCCTCATCTTCTTGGACCTGGAGGCCACTGGCCTGCCTTCCTCCCAGCCCAAGGTCACGGAGCTGTGTCTGCTGGCTGTCCACAGATGTGCCCTGGAGAGCTCCCCCAATATTCAGGGGCAGCCTCCCATAGTGCCCCCGCCGCCCCGGGTGGCAGACAAGCTCTCTCTGTGCGTGGCTCCAGGGAAGGCCTGCAGCCCAGAAGCCAGTAAGATCACAGGCCTGAGCACAGCTGTACTGGCAGCTCACGGGCGTCAGCGCTTCGATGCCGACCTGGCCAGCCTGCTCCGAGCCTTCCTGCAGCGCCAGCCACAGCCCTGGTGCCTCGTGGCACACAATGGCGACCGCTACGACTTCCCCTTGCTCCAGGCGGAGCTGGCTGTCCTAGGCCTTGCCAGTGTTCTGGACGGTGCCTTCTGTGTGGATAGCATTGCCGCCCTGAAGGCCCTGGAGCACGCTGGCAGCCCCTCGGAGCATGGCCCGCGGAAAAGCTACAGCCTGGGCAGCATCTACACACGCCTGTATGGCCAGGCCCCACCGGACTCGCACATGGCCGAGAGTGATGTCCTCGCCCTGCTCAGCATCTGTCAGTGGAGGCCGCGGGCCCTGCTCCAGTGGGTGGACGCTCATGCCAGGCCTTTCAGCACTGTCAAGCCCATGTACGGGGTCACGGCCTCTGCTGGAACCAACCCAAGACCATCTGCCACCACAGCCACTAAAGCCCTGGCTAGAGCCAGGGACACTAGTCCCAACCTGGGCAGGGGCAGGAAGCCCAAGGCTGCTCCTCCAATGGAGGGCCCTGGAGCCTCACCCAAGGCGGGACTGCTAGCCCCACTGGGTCTTCTGGCCTTCCTGACCTTGGCACTAGCCACACTGTATGGGCTTTCCCTGGCCACACCTGGGCAGTAGGCCAAGAAGGAAAGTCTGACTAATAAAGACCCCCCCCCCTCCCCAGCACTGAGTGGGCGCTCACCTCTACCCTCCTTGGCAGCCTTAGAGAAGCCTCCTGCACCTCTGCCCACACTCAGGGACCTGGGGAGGGGGACACAGAGGGTGGCACAGTCTTTGTCCTCCACCCTCCCTAGCAGGATGGCCAGACACCTGAGCCCAGGAAAGACAGGGCAAACCCAAGAGATGGATGAAGATGGTACATGGCCTAATGCCCAGTCCCAGCACCCAAGGCTCTGAAGAAAGAAGGCGGCAGCCCCAAATGTTTGCATTTATTATAAACAAAGGTGCAGACCCTAGACTCTCAGAAACACATCAACAGGTACAAAGCTAAGACAGATCTGGTGAGATATTAACAGAGGAACAGGGAACACCGAGGTATTCATGTCTGGTCGAGAGCAGCCACCTAGGGCCCCCTTCCACCTTTGGTCCAGACGGCCCCTTGGCCCAGGTGTCCTGGGTGCCAGGACACACTGAGACTGGGGTACAGGAGCTGGCTATTCTGTGAAGCTGGTGTGGGGAGAGGTAGGGCCTATCAGAGGTCTGACGGTCCCTCTCCACAGTGGGCCAATTTCCCTCCAGGACCCAGGGGGCTCAGCCTCACAAAAATGATCACATACATTTTAAAACAGGAAACAGGCACACTGTTTTTGCCTAAAAGGAAAGGAAAACAAAAACACTGCAGGGAGGACACCTGAGTGTGCAGGTGGACAGAGGCCGCCCTGCCTACCTGTGGTGGGGGTCGTGGCCAGCCAGGGCAGCCAGAGCCGTGGGTGGACGTGGCCCTCCAGGTGGTGCCAGGGAAGATGCAGGGACAGTCCAGGCAGACCGCGCTCGGGTGGGTGGGCCTCTGCCTCAAGTGTTTTGGTCTCGGGAGGCTGCCCGCCCTCTGCTGGGCAGGGCACAGGCTCTGGGGACTATGGGACGACCGCTGAAAGGATTAAAACCCAACTTAGGCCCCGAGCCTCACCCCCATGCCACGATGGCTCTGGTTCCTTGAAGAGTACCCCATGCCCTGCGGACAGGCCATGGCCTTGAGCAGTGGCTAGCCACTCTGCCCAAACCAGCACACGTGGGCACACTGCCTACAAAAAGCCCCACTGTCCTAGCAGGACGAGCCCCCACCAGCCTGGTCTCCCCGGGGCAGTATGGGAAAGAACTCCCACCCCAGTCTTTGAATTTTGAGATTTCAAAAGAGCACAATTTCAAGTGAGGAAGAGAACGAAGAAGGGTCCCAGCAACTCTGGCAATGACTGGCCCGCGGCACGGCATCACAAGAAGCCTCGTGTACAGACCGGACACAAACACCACGCGCGGCGAGAAAAGGACCGTGCCTGCATGCCCATCTCCTCTCTCTCTCTCACACACACACACACCAAGTGGCAGCCAGAGAAGCAGGGACAGGCTCAGGGGGCTGCCTTCGGGGGGTCCACGTAGGCCGGGTTGTAAGGAGGCTGGCTGGCAGGATAGGGCACGGCTGCACCTCCTGAAAACAGAGAGGACGCTGGTTGGTTGTGAACACGGGGGGCTGCAGTGTGAGGTGACAGTGGCAGGCGATTTGGGGGGCCAGGCAGGGTCAGCGCTGGCAGCGGTACTCACCAGCCAATGTCTCGTGGTAGGCCGGGGGGCCCATCAGCTGGGCAGGGTAAGGCGGGGGGTACTGTGTCGGGTAGGGTGCTGCTGGCATCCCTGGCTGCGGGGGCATGGGGTGGTAGCCCTGGTACGTTGGTCCGGGGTAGCTGGGGGGCACACTTGGAGGCTGAGGGTAAGGGGTGTGCACCACCGTGGTGGCCGTGGTGGTGACCACCGCTGCAGAGAGAATCCCAGTCAGGACCACAGCCACCCCTCACTCCAGCTTAGCCGAGTCGGGGCCCTGGTCAGCCCCCCCGCCCCAGCACCTGGGCTCTGCACCTACACACCCAGGGTCATGGGGGCAGGGAGGGGGCAGGCGTGCTTACGACGCGGTGGCCGGCGACACATCTTGTAGAGATAGCAGCAGGAACAGGTGAAGCAGATGATGACGGTGACAACGGAGAGCACGAAGATGGTCAGGCCGATGGCTACAGTTGCCCCAAACCTGCCAAAGAGCCGGCGGTGACCCAGGGCCTCTCGCCCCGGCCCAGGACCAGCAGTCCACACCCCACCGTTCCCAGGGGCTCCCCTCTTGCCAGAGGAGACTCGGGGCAACACAGAGCAACTGCCAGGTGGGGTAGCTTGACTCTCCTTCAGACCGTTTCCTTGGTGTAAAATGGGGTTGTTTCGCGAGTCTGTGTAAAGCCCCTCACCCAGGGTCTACGCCCTTGGAGTGTCTCCCCACCATACACCCCTTGTCCACCCCACCCACTCAGCAGCCGGGCCTCGGGCACGTGGCTCAGGCCCATCCCTCTGGGCGAGACCGACCAGCTCACGGCCTCTGGGAGCCCACACTTCAGCGCAGGAGGCAGATGTTGAGGTAAAATAGCAGCACAAGGGGCAAAGGTGGGGAGAAATTCCAGGAGAGCAGAGGCCAGCGTGGCCAGAACAGTGAGGAGAGGCACGCAGGGAACGCAGCCTCAGCACTCGCCCCAGAGAGGGGCCGCAGGCCCCCCAGGAGTGACGGCGAGCCGGCTGGCTGCGCAGCCCTGTGCCAGGGGTTCACATACAGCCCAGGGCTCCCACACTCTGACCAGTAGGGCAAGTGGGCAAACAAAGAGACGGGTGGATGATATGGGGGTGCTGGAGCTAACCTTGCCTTCTGGAAGAGGAGGCCCGCCTGCCTGATGCCAGCCCCTCAGCAAGGACCACAACAGAGTGGAGGGGCTTTAAAGAAAGGACAGGCCCTGGGCAGGAAGCTCACTAAAATTGACTTTCAAGGGCAGACAGAGTCCCTTGCTCTCCTTCTCTGTTGCCAGGGACTAAACTCTTTTCTAAGGAAAGGCACATGCTTGGTGACTGCACCTAGTCATTCAATGCACCTAGTGCATTCAAACGTGGAAGGAGGGGCACCTGGCTGGCTCAGTTGGCAGAGCTTACGACTCTTGATCTCTTGATCTCTGGGTCGTGAGTTCAAGCCCTACCCATGCTGGCCGTGGAGCCTCC